GACCAGCCCCTATCTAGCATGCCACTCAGAGCCACCTCGTTAGAACAAAAGACACTGCTGTCACCCCGAAAATTCCAAGGGAGTTAGGAATGCTGTGTCGGGAACCAGGGTCAAAGACCAAATATTAGAACAAAAGATGTTCGTAGTACTCTTATCACTTTGGAAATTACAAAGGTTTTACAAATTCTGTGCCAGGAACCCAGGGCAGAGACCAATGTGTATTTTCTATTATCTCAAAATTACCTGTCATTGGTGGTCTCACAGGCCCCTCACACTCAAGCCGCCCAGCCTGGGCCTCCTCTTCATCCCCAGGGTGAAGGCCCAGCACCTTCTCCCCTGGATGCTGGATGTCCTTGCCTTCACTCCTCGCATCCAGTCCTCTGTTCAGTGATTCTCCCACAGCCACATCTCTCTATCCTATCCCCCTCCATCCCTGCCCTGACTCAGCCCCTCGTCTCTTGCCTGGGTTTTTACAACATGCCCTGTGCCTCCAGTGTCTCCCAAGAGGCCATGCTACCCTGATTAGTCCTCTCAAGCATCCTCTTATCCTGCCTCACCCTGTTCACAGAGCTTCACTGACTTCCAGTTATTCACAGAATTTATTTCAGATGCCTCAGCCTGGTTGCAGCATCACCTACAGCCTTGCTACGCAGAGTACGGTCCTAAGCCCTGCAGCATCACTGTCTCCCAGGGGCCTATAAAAAGTGCAGACTCATGGGGCCGAACTAACCAGCACAGAGTGGTTGAGTTGTTTAAAAAGATCACCTCCTGACTTTCATAGATTGAAGATAATAAACAAAAGACAAAGAACAAGATAAAGGCAGAGCTGACCCTTCTCCCATGCTTGGTGTACGCTCTTCGTCAATGCATTACAAGACAAAACAGATGACCCAATTAAACATGGGGGGGATTTACTCACTGATACCATTCCTGCCTCCCCTTTGGCCTCCCAGTGGTTGGAACTGACCCTTCTGTTGCCAGGTTTTCTCATTTGCCTGGTGATCCTTGGTTTTCCTCTTATAATTATAAATGAGTCACACAGCTCTGTGGGCATCAGGCTCCACTGTGGGGGTGGGCAGGGAGCTGGCTTTTATGCGCGGATCCCCTAAATGTCAGAGTGACATACGCACACAAGCTGCCGAGTCTCTCCAGACAGTGCATTGAGGGATTTTGGTTTTGGTTTTAGAAGAGCTCTCCTTTGTTGATGTCTGAGAAGGAAATGCCTGGCTCCATGACGGTCCACGCCTGGAGCTGGACAGAGGGTTGGGGGTTGACTATTCCATGCACAGACCTCCCACTATTCTCCCTGTTTCAGCCCCGTTCTCACCCCACCCTCCGTCCTACCTGGGCCTGTGAGTTCAGAGCCCCTGTGGGTTCCTCTGGGCATACAGCTTTGTCCCCTGCTGAGCCCCTAAGTGTGTGTCCTAGGTCACTGGTTCTCAAACTTGGCTGCACGCTGGGTGCACTGGGGCCTTTAAAAAAATTTCTGTTCCTGTGCACGAGCCCAGAGATTCTGATGTCATTGGTCTGGGGTCTGGCTCTGCCCTGCTAGGCTGCCCTCTTCCTTCTCGCTCTGAAACTCCAGGCATCTCAGGTCTGCCGACTAGTTATTCCTGTCTCTCTTTCGTTTTGCGATGTATACACTTAATGAAAATCAATTTAGTATAGTTTTAAGGTTCTGGGGAAGGAGAGGAGACGGATGCATCTACTGGGTTCATGAACATCTTGAACAAGAAGTCCAAACCTAATTTCCATGACCGTGTCCAACTTATTCTCCAGCCCCTCCTTCTCTGTGCTCTACAACTTAGCAGATGCAAACCAACCAGCAAACTGCAAAAGCATTCCCTTTCACCTGTCCACACGCTGCTCCTTCCCGCATCAGTGGTCACAAGATGAATACAGCAGGTCAGTAATTAATCCTTAGTTTCTGGGAAGAGCTGCTTATCCTTAAGGAAGTGCCCATGTCAGGGGAGCTACAGCTCTATCTTTAAGGGCGTCATTCTTGGTTTTTAGACATTGTAAATGTTTAAAGCAAATGTACAAGGAATACTCAACAGGGCACATCGGGCCTTTCTGGAAATGCAAGTTCAGGCCAAATTAGTTTTAAACCAAATGGCTTCCTCATATACTCCTATACATCTTATCGCTTATCGTTTATTCATCACTTTGTATTTTTAAATTCTGCAAAAGAACGACTTTTCCCCTCAATTATTTTCTTCATCCCTCCCTCAATCATATTCTGATATCTTCGTTTATCTTCCGCCTCTGGTTGCATCAGTCTTTTGCAAACTGTTGTTCCTTTCCTCTATTTTTGGAGGGCCAGTTATTTGCATAAATCCCATGTTGGTTTTTTTTCTTCTGGTTTTTCATCTTTGATTGAGGTCTTCCTATTTATTTTGCTGTTTGCCTAGCAAACGTGTTTGGATTGCTTTTGACTTTGTTTTCTGTCAGGACACTGAACTCTCAGCACAGGAGTCAGAGAACTAGATATAATGGCTGTATTCTTTGTTTGATCACAGTGGCCTGGGCAGCGTAGGAAGAGAGCAGGAACTTTGGGCAACAGGAGTTCGAGAACTCCGTCTTCTCCATCCGCTGCAGTTCTGTGAAAACCACATGGAGACAGTCTCCGCTGAGTGGAGTATTCCTGTTCCTCAAGGAATGCCCTGTGGGATTCCATTCCTTTTCCCCTCCTCCCATCAGCCTGGGCCAGCCATGTGGCCACATCCTTGTGGCTCCTTGGCTTCCCCCAACCCTGCCCCTCTTGTTCTTTTGTCTGCTGTCTTTCCTGTCTGGGTCCATTGCTTCTAGAACGGTGTTTCCCAAACTGGTGTGCCCGGTAGTCTCAGGGGCCTGCAAGTGCTCTGTTGGAATGTTTATATTTCATGCTTTCATTTTGATAATAATCTGAACATTAACACATGCATGTTCTGGATCCTGCAGTGACCACCTTATAACAGGCATTTTCAGGGCTCTGCTTGCTTTCGTGTTAAGGCATCTTCACAGGAGGACCAGATGACGACACAGACGGTGGTCCTGACGGGGGCTGTCCAGTGCGGGGTTCATGTAGAGGAGACAAGTGGGAGGACTGGCCCTCAGGCGGGGAGGGCAGAATGACAGTAATAACATGCACTGAGCACTGGTGACGTGAGTGCTGCTCTGAGGGCTGTGAGTGTGTTAACTCGTTGACTCTTCTAACAAGTCTAGGAGGGAAGCCCCTGCTTACTCCACTTTTGTAGATGGGGAGACTGAGGCTCTGAGAGGTCACGACCCTGCTCAAGAGTAGACAGCCAGTAAGCGGAGTGAGGGCTTAATGCACGTAGCTGGCCCCAAAGCCAAATTTCTTACCTGTTAAGCAGTAAGGCTCACATCAACCTGCCCAAAGGTCAATTCATCTAAAACTGGTTTGCTGAAAAACAGTTTACAGAAGAATCTGTTTCCTAAATGAGCAAATCACTGAATGATCTATTTGCTAAATTGATAGAATCTGTACTTCTATCAATTATTGATAAAGTTTATAACAATGTGAATTGAATGCATCAACAGGGCCTATGAGAACCTTGGGGAGCAAAGACTCCAGGGTTCTGGCTTCGGATTGCCTCCCTGACCCTCAGTCTCCTCCTCGCTCTGCCTGTCAGTCTCCTCACCTCTCTGCCCCCCGGTCACCCCCTTTTAGGAATCACCAGTTCAGGCTATCCTGTGAACTGACTTCTCCTTCTTTCTCCTCGCAGGGAGCTGAGTAGAGAAAAATCAAACATTGTTTTAGGTGCTTTAAGGAGGAAATAGTGAAAACCTGTCAATGAAAATGACAGAAATCTTCAAAAGCTGTTAAACGAGACTATCCAATGGGAATTGCTTTAAACTTTATACACAGTTAAAAGAAGATTCTGGTAAATGGATAGATTTGATCACTTTGATGGCTCGATCATTCACTGAATTGGCCTCTAATTGGCCCACAGCTCTTCTCACACAGGCACGTCAAGCTCCAAAGTTATTGCTCTGTAGCGGTCAGGGGCGTATCTGCCCTGCACGCAGAGGTGTGGGATTCTGTCTTTGTAGTAACAGCTTTCCAAAGTTCATTAGCGGTAATGTAGTCAATACCCGCTACAGTAGCAAATATCCAAAGAAGAATTTTTTGGTCTAGGGTTTCAGTAGTAAGTAGATAGATATGTATTCAGCGAAGATTTCCATAAGGCTGTAATGTTAAATTTTTTTTCAGGTCAATCAAACAATTTATAGATCTCTCACTTGTCACCTGGCAGAGTTTTGGTTAAGAACGAAGTTGACCGTCTTGAACTGGTAAACAAAGACTTTAATCAAGTGTTGTCCAATAAATGTACATGAACTGGTAGTCTTTGTGTTAAAGTTAAAAAATAGATTAAATACTCAATCTGGTGGGAACCTACAGTTTTTTCCTATAATCCCAACATTAATCATTTAGTTTCAGCAAAACAAGAACACCCATCACATTAAAGTTGTAGGTTTGAATGTTAGTTTGAATGACCATTGCTTTATTGTCTTACTGCTTTGTTTTCATTTACTTTATACATGTTTTTTGGTTTATAGCATAAAAGCTATAAGCACAAGACATTTATATATAGTTTCATGTTTACACATCTTTAAGTAAATTTATAATAAAAGTAATTTAAATCAACGCTGGGTAGTGGGAATTCTTTTCTTTAAATGGATTATTTTTTGAACTATATAGCAAATTTTTATTGAATTATTACAAGAAATGAGGATAAAAAGAATCTTTAATAAGTATCACACAAATACCAAATAGACAAAGTAAAGCATAAAAAAAATACAGGAGAATTTTATTTACGAATAATAATGGAAAATCCCAGATAAATATATTATCAAAGAGTAGCACATTAAAAGAATAATACATAAAGTGGGATTTATTCCAATAACGCAAAAGTAGTTCAATGTTAGGAAATCTGTTAAGGCGTTATTAATAGAGGAAAAAGAAAAAACATATGAAATATTCACAAAGGAAAAGAGAAATTTAACATTTTATTCTCAGTAAAACTCTTGATAAAATAGGAATGAATATATAATTACTTAACAAGATAAAACATATATGCCTTAACCAAATGAGAACATCCTGTGTAATGGAGAAACACTAGGAGCATTGATATTGAAGTTAGGAACGATACGAAGATATCCCTTATCATCACTATTATTTAATCTGGAAAGAAGAAAATGGTCATTTACCTAGAAATAGAAAGGGATCAACTGAAAACCGTTACAAACATAGAGAAATTCAGTAACGCAGCTTCATTAATACATTATGTATGTATTATTTTAATCAACTAGCTGGAAGGTCTAATGGGAACAAGACTCTATTTACAATAGTAACAAATGATGATACATTATCATGTCAACAACGCCTGCCTTTTGACCTTTATACTACATGCATATATTATGGGGAAAAAAAGGGACTGTGAGTTACTTAATTTGAGAAATCCTGAGATAGTCCATTTACTGTGCTTAGAATTGAGTCTGGTAGGTGATGGAGCTCAAAACATGTTTCCCTCCCTTTCCACCCCTCCCTTCTAAGGCACAACTGACCCGGGATCATGTATCTGCCAGCCTCTTGCTTTTCCATAGTCAAAGGCCATCGCTTTCTCAATTCTTGGGTACTGGGCTGTGCTGAGACATGCTAAAGGTTCTCCAACCAAGGCCCATGCTTCTTGGGGGCACCAGGACCCTCCCTATTCCAGGAAAGAATTTCTGTCCCTGACCATCCCTATGCACATCCCGCCTAACCATGGGTGTTCTCTAATGGGGTTAAGATGGTCACAGGTCAGAAATCTGGCTGAGCGCTGAAAGGCTTACCTCTTGTACTTGGATATTCGAGTAGCACCATCACTGCCCACAGTCTGTGAAGTGAGAAAACTTTGGTGGGGAACCCAGGGGAGCAGCTCCTGCTGCTCTGCTGTCTCAGTGGGATGGGTCAGGAAGACTTGGGGTCTAGTCCCAACTCCACCTTAAGGAGGGAGATCTTGGGATCCTGGGGTGAAGGGTGAGGTGGGGGAGATCTTGCCAAGGTCCCTCACTGCCCCAGGGTCTTCATGGTCTTGGTGTCACCCTGGGGTTCTGGGCTTTTCTGGATCTTCTCGTAGATAGTGTGGACTACCGGAGCACGCTCAGGGCTATATGAATGGCAGCTGCCCTTCTCCATGTCTTTCTACAATTCAAGAAGAGTTTAGGAGTGGTCTTGGTCAGTTTCTAAGAATTAGCAACAGGGTTATTCAAGCTACATCTCGTCATGTTCTTCTTGTGCTCAACCAGGTAGTTCTGGCTCTCCATCCTGACAACTCCTCAGAATATGGCTTCGGTGCGGACCTCTACCTTGAACACTGCAGAATCTTTCCACTTGCTCTCTCCCAGACCCAGGATGCTAGCCCTCTCCCCGCCCCACCCACACCCTCCCAGACCTCCACTTTGCTCACTCCTTCATCTCTTGTTGGTGAGGTTCCCTAACAGGCTTGTTAAAATCGCACACAAACCCTCCATCTCTCCTCTCTGTTTTATTCTCTCTTTAGCATTTATCGTCATGTGACCCTTCATGTTTTGCTTATGTTGTTTTTCGTTCTCCCCTCCCCCAACCTAGAATGTATATTCTATGAGGCCAGGGATTTTTGTTGTTCTGTTAACTCATGTAGCCCAGATCAGAACAATTCTGGGAACACAGGAGACACTCTGTAAATATTTCTTGGACAAATTTGTCAATCACCTTGACTGCTCTCACTGAAAAATTGAGAAGCATCAGATAAAACGAAAGTGTTATGACTGTAATCCTCATTTTATAAAACAAGAAACTGAGGCCCAGGGAGTAAAGTAACTTTTCTAAGGTCGATCAAGAAGTCAGTATCAGGGCTGGGTTTCACATCCATTTCTCTGGACTCTGCTGCTTCATGCCACCCCCATCTCTCTTCTGTGCTTGTCTTCCCGTGTCCTGGCAGGGAATTCATTTTCTCCATCAGACTGGGAGTGCCCCAAGGGCAGGGACTACGGTGGCAGGGGGCTTCAGGGCCGTGCTGAGTGTCTGGGTCAGATGTGGCCTGATTTGTTTCCCTGTCCCAAAGTCAAACATTGCTCCTTTCCTGTGCTTCTCTGGTAGGGGGAATTGGGGTTTGGGCCCAAGGAGCTATTTCCTGAGATCCCTGAGGTCCAAGTCAGAAGGGAACATAATTCAGAGGGGCTGACACAGGAAGTCGCAAGGTGGCAGGCACTAAGGCAGCTGGGCACAATGCACAGAGCACTGGATGGGGAGCGAGGACACCCCTGTTCTGCCCTGTGCTTGCGTGGTTCTCTGCCCAAGCCCCAGTGTTCCTTCTGGGTCCCACTTTCCCAACTCTAAACTGCTGGGACCAGATCAAGGGATTTCTAAGATCCTGATGTTCTGTGGCACAATGAGCCAGTGTTGCTCCCTCTTTAAAGAAATCAAAGGATGGCAGAGGAAAGGCCTCGGCCATTGGTTAGTCCTGCACGTTCAGACAGCGGCTCTACTTGCCTTCCCCCAATCTCTCTTTAGCCCAGTAGTTCTCAAAGAGTGGGAACAAGAGTGTCAGCATCCTTTGGGAACTCATTAGGATTGAGCAAATGCTCAGGTCTCCCTAGACCTGCTGAATCAGAAACTCTGCATGTGGGCCCAGCAACCTTTATTTTACCACGCCCTACCGGCATGTGAGCTCAGTTTAAGAACCATTGCTTCTAGGGAAGTCCCTTAAGTGTCCTCGCTTCCTACAGTTGTCCTGTCTCCAGCTCTTTCCCTTTGGTGGAATCATTCCATCTGTGACCATGGCACCAATTTCCATCTAAGGGCGAGTGGCCACATGAGATGCTCTCCCTGGGACATCTCATCAGTGGTGACAACAAATGCCTTTACCCAAAGAGGTGGCATTAATGGCAGGGTCTCAGGCAGGTAGGAGGGAGACAGACTGCGGGGAGGAGATTTCCTGATGTTCCTCAGATCCTTGGGTCTGCCCCACCTCCAGGCCCTGCTGGTCTCCCCTACTTTTGCTTCCTTTGGGTCCTATGCAGGTGGCGGGGTCTACCAGACACCTGTCCATTTACATTCTTGCATCTCCTGTTCTGCCACCCCTCCTCCCTGGGTGGCAGTGACATCTGATGAGATTGTGGACACTCAGTCGAGGTGTCCTCCCCATCAGTGGTTTCCTCCCATTGCACCTCAGCTCCCGGCATCCTGTGAGTGCCTGGGCACTGCAACCATGTCATCCAAAGCAAGGGTTGAATCCAGAGCCCGACAAGGAGCAGAGTACTCTGGACTTCCCAGGATTCATGACCTCTGAGTAGATGTTGGTCAACCTGATTTGATTCCTTCAGACCCACCTCAGGGTGTCCCAGGAGTCTGATCTTCATGTAGGGGGAGTAGTGGCTGTCAGCCTCACCAGTCTGCAGGTCAGCAGATTCTTCTGTGGGAAGGGCCTGGGGAGCAGCTGCTGAGCCGGGCCCCTCGGGCAGGAGAGCAGACCCACCTGCACACAGCAGAGACTCAGTGAGGCTGCGTGGAATTGAGGTGACCCCTCATCAGCCCTTGGGTGAGGGCAGCTATTGCTCCCCAGGCTGTAAGCTCAGGTCCCAGACCCCTGCCCTGTCCCTGCCACACATCACCTTCCTTCCTGGGCATGTTCTCAGCTCCCACCCCCAGCAGGCTGTAGCCCAGCCTTCCAGGGATGATTCACAGGAGAGGTCCATGAGCCTCTGTCTGCCCATTGTTCTGCCCATCCCTGCCTCCCTCCCTGGGGTCTCTTCCATCCAGCCCCTCCTCCAGTGGCCCCCATCCCAGTACTCCCCTCAGGGTCTCCCCAGCACCTGCCTTTCCCAGTCTCCATCTTCTTCCTCATCCAGATCCACACTCCAGCGCCCAGGCCCACCATCAGAACCGTGGGAAGGATGCCTACCCAAAGCTGTTTGCTCTGAAGCGAACCTGGGGTCAAAGGCTGGTGTCAGGTCTGCCTCAGTCAGGCCTGGTGCAGGCAGGAGGAGGAGGTGGGACCACCCTGGCTCAGGACCTGTATCCTAAGTGGACATCCTTGATGCAGCCCCAACAGGTTTCCTCCTTTCTAGTCTCCCTGAATGCTGGCCACTGTCACTTTAACGTTTCTGCTGCTAGGCTTTCTGTCTCTTCTCTACACAGGAAACTTGGAGGCTCCTACTAGCTGGATGTGCCATTGTTCATCCCCTCAACCTGCCTCTCTTTTCTGCTCTCAGACCCTCAGAAGAGAAATACATCCCAAGAAGGAGAGAGATGGAAGAATCTAGGATCCCCAGACCTCAGGACATTTCTGTTCTCTGTTTGGGGTATCTTGCTCATACTGCCACAAGAAAACTCCTATTCATCCTTCAAGGCCCAAGTCAGGTGTTCCCTTTTCTGTGATACCTTCGCCAAATCCTGTAGTAGTTACTCAATTTCTTTCTTTTGTTTTTGTGCTTGAACCATATCCTTTGTATTTGCTGACTTCAGCACTTAATGTGTGGCTTTATATTTAGAAATATACTCCTCCTCTGCTTTAAAGTATTTTCTAATAATTATTGCCACAATCTATGCCACACACTGTGTTGATAACTTTCCATAGATTCCCCTTTGAATTTGCACCACAGCCCTATGAAGTAGATACAATTATTGCACATCTTACAAAAAGGCTCCAAAAATCAAGTGACTTGTCCAGGGTCACACAGCTGGTGTGCTGCAACGCCCCACTGCACTATGAGCTCCTTGAGGGCGGAGGCTCATCTTACTTCTCACTGATGCCCCCAGCATGTGGTAGGCCCTCAGTCCTAGTGTGAGGGTTGAATGCTGAGTGGCTGAGCGAGGGAGGAAATGACACGGAGGAGACTGTTCAGACGGGAGCCCCACGTGAGCAAGCAGAGCTCGGGGGATGTGTGTGGGAGGGGGCCGCTGAACTGATCATTACACTGCCTTTGTTCCATCCATTGTTCCCGCTGCATAGTCCTAGGGAAAGTAGGATGTTTCATACTGTATGAAACGAGGTCCCAAGTCTCCTTTGTAAGGGCTTCCACCCCCTAACCTACCCTGGACTGTCGCTTTATCTAGCAGGGTGACACCTTAGGCTGATGGGGGAAGTGTGTAACTGGCTGTAGTGACCACAGGTGCTCTCACTGCTCAGTGGGTGGTTGAACTTTGGTTTACTTACTCAGAGGTGCTAATCATCTCAGAAATGGCACATCTGTCATGCAGCAAAAAACGGGCATCTATCAGCCTGAATGTACTAAGCATGTCCAGCCCATCCAGGGAGGGGCCTGAGTCTGGTGAACACGAGCTTTCCAGGTCTAAGGAATCCTCAGTCCTTAATCCTCAAGTCCTCCTCCTCCCCTGCTTGGATTCTGATGACTAATTCAGCCTTCCGGGCTCCTCAAGGCTGGGAAAGGGGGTGCCTACATACCAGTCCTGGATTTATGTCCTGGGTGATGCCGCAGTTTCCACATATTGGTCCAGTTTCTGGACTTGCAAGTTTAAAGACTATGATGAGGGTGTGGCCATTCACTGAGGTGGGGACCTTTTGGTTGCACCACATCAAGTCCCTTAAATTATTCCCCTGTCCCACCACATTCCCTGAGCCCGCCCAGTCTCGTCCCTCCCCCACTCTCTGCTAGCCTATTTTCGTCACCCTTCCCAGCAGATCTCACTCACCCGTCGATGGACAGATGTTCTCCAGGTGTAAGGTTGCATTCTTCTCGTCCACAGGGTTGCTGACCACACAGGTGAGGTGGCCATTCAACTGGCCCAGGGGCAGGCTCAGGCTTAGATTCCTGGAGTTGGGGGCTGGCCCCAGTGTCTCTCTCGGCTCCAGCTCCCTGGGGAGGCCCTTACTCAGCCAGGTCACTGCCAGGTTCTCTGTGGCTCCTGGGGTCCCACACTCCAGGCTGATGTTGCACCAGCCTGATGTGCGAGACGATGAATGAATCTGAATCTGGGGCTGGGGCATGGGCTCTGGGGCAAGGGGGGACAAAAGAGAAACTGACCTTCAGGACTGGAGGCCCCCCCAAGTACATCATCCACTCTCACTAAGGTGGTGCAGCTGTGTGAGGTTCCTAACTGCAGCCCTGGGGAAGGACCCTTCTCCCTCTGGCCCAAGGGGTTCTGACTCCAGCCCAGGGGCAGATGGCTGAGGCCCTCCCATGCCCAGTGAAGCCTAGATGATTAAACAGACATGATGTACATGATGACCACACAATGATATGTATCCATGATAATCATACGGATGATAATAATTTTATATATTCTTATATATAATAACTACAACATGGGAGGAGTTGAGAATACAGTGGAAAAACATGTTAAAGTTCTTGTTTTTTCCGGAGGAAAAAAAATACTGATTATCTTTAAATGTTGAAGTAAAACTTTAATTTTAGTAACTAGTTAGATAAAACTAGAAGGCTGGGGACCAGCCCCATGGGGCAGTGGTTAAGTTCACGTGCTCCACTCTGGCAGCCCAGGTTTGCAGGTTCAGATCCCAGGGGCAGACCTACACCACTCATCACTCATGCTGTGGTGATGACCCATCTACAAAATAGAGGAAGATTGGCACAGATGTCAGCTCAGGGCTAATCTTCCTCAGCCAAGGGGGAAAAAAAAACCCAAGGTGGTATGACTTCCAAACTACTAGAAAAGTTCAGGTCAAAGAAAACTCTATTAATCCAACAGAAGACAAGAAAAAAATGGTAAATAAAAAACATTAAATAAGATGTCAGGAGTAGATCCATACCTGTAAAACACAATGAAATATATATTTGAATGCGTTATATCCCCCTGTTAAAAAGCCAGGACTCAGATGAGGCAAAGCCAGCTGCACACTATTTCCATTACCTAATGGCATGGAAAGATTAAAAAGAAAGAGATGGTAAACAAAGATGAGGAAAATGTCAACAAAATGACTGCAGGTGTAGCAACAGTCACTACAGACCAAATAAAATTTAAGATAAAAAACATTAAGCAGGCCAAAGAGAGACATTTTAGATGAATATGTACCTAACAACATGGTTTGGAAATGCATAAATGTTATAAAGCAAAACAAAACAAAATCAAAACCAAAACACTGTTGGAAATTCAAGGAAAAATTTTCAAACCCGCTATTACTCTAGTGGAGTATTTTACTATGGTGGGTAGACTAGAGAAAAGGAAGAAATCCAGCTAAAACCAGCCCGTAACCGCCACGTATGTGGCCAGTCTGAGAGGTGGCTCATCCACACGCAGCCCCACTTCCCTCTCCGTCCCCGCTTCCTCTGCTGTGGAATCTAGAGAGCCAAAGTCTCGGTTTCGGTCTTTCTTACAGCTGCATTGGTGCTGACCAGGGAAGTAGGGGGATCTGCTGGGGGAGGAAAGGTCTTCACTCCTGAAAAGACAGAGCCCCAGACCGAGAAGGACCTTCCCCTTGTCCTTTTCTCCTTGCTGCCTTTATTGTGGAGTGATGTCTGGAGCAACAGCCACCTCTGGACCACGAGGCAACAAGCACGAGGACAAAAGTCTATGTCCGGAGGATGGCAGAGCAGGAAGACAGAGCGAGCCTGGGTCCCCATGACAGCGCCAAGCAGATGGCCCAACACCAGCAAATACTATCTCTTGACTTTCTTCCATGAGAAAAACAACTTTGCTTAAACCTTTGAAAATCAAGTTTTATGCTAATTGCAGTCAAATATATTCTTAACTTATATGCATAGGTAACAATAAAAAAGGAGATTCCATCAGCAAAATCAAAAGCTGATTTTTCAAAAACAGGCCAATTAAAAGAGACCATATTGATATCTAACTAAAAAATTCAAGCTATAATAAATATCACTAGGAATGAGCATTGGGGCAAAATTACAGATATTAAAAAATTATAAGGAAATACTATGTACAACTACATGTCAAATAATGTGAAAATGTAAATGAAATAATGCTTTTCCAGGAGAGTGTAAATGATCAAAATTCTGTTAAGAAGCAGCAGCAATCCTGAATACACCCACAGCTATAGGAGAAAGTAGAAAGGTGGACAATGATCTGTCCTTACAAAGGGCACGAAGTGCATATGGTTTCAGGAGTGAGTGCTACCCAATGGCCAAGGCAAATGGAATTCCTGTGTTACAGACACTGTTTCAGAGCTTAGAAAAAGGCAAAACGTTTCTCAGGTCGTTCTGAAAGGATGGTTGAACTTGAATGCTCACATCAGACAAGGAGAATACCACCACCAACACAAGACAAAACACATTTGCAAACCCACGGGTTAATGTCAGTAATAAAGAGAGAACTTAAAATTCCTAAATTAAATATTGGCAAATACAGTCACACAATACATCACGATCAAGTTGGGTTTATTATAGGGATACAAGGTTAGTGTAATTAGGAAATTTATTAATGTAATTTATTCCATTAGCAGATGAAAAGAAAACAACAGCTAGCACTTAAGAGCAGGTATGCATTTCCAGTCACGGCTCCAAGGGCTTTACGTGGACTCATTTAATCCTCTGAAGTTGCGTGGATCAGCTGTCAGTAGATTCATCTAGGGAGGGTAGGCAAACTATTCTGTAAAGGGTCAGATAGTATTTTAGGTTTCACCAGCCATATGGTCTCTGTCACAATTACACAACTTTGCCATTATGACAAGAAAGCAGCCAAGTACAACATGTAAATGAATGGATGTGGCTGCCGCTGTGTTCCAGTAAAACTTTATGTATAAAAACAGACACTGGGCTGCATTTGACCAATGGTGATAGTTTGCCAGCCCCTGATCTGGGGCAGTTATTAAAAATACAAACGTGTGGGCCCTCTCCAAGACTGTTTGAACACGTGTCTGGATAAAATGATACTTTTAAGTAGCTTCTTTAAAAGATCTGATTTGATGAACAAATAGTTTAAATATAAAAACAAATGGACTGTCTATTACAAAGTGTAAGGAAACACAGATGGGTGTTTAGAAAGCTCATGCTCTCAGGCATTTAGAGTATTCACTCAATAATTGGTTTACATGAATCTTTATTGTGCTCTTTTCAATAGGTGAAGGAATAGTAATCAGGCTTGAATCATCAAAAATCCTAGAAAAAGTAGGTGTGTTTCTGTAGGTATCCTTTAAATATTGCTTAACTCTATCTGGTTAAAGGAATACAGTACTTCCTGAATGCCTGCTGGGAGCTGTAGAAAACACTGGGCAGATGCCAAGGGGAGCAGGGCACGGACCCCGCTCTCAAGTGGAGAGTGGACCACACACAAACAATGGTAGTGCAAGGCAGAGAGAAACACGATCTGCAGGAGAACTAAGAGAAAGAACTTTGGGACTTCACAACGGAAATATTCATTCAATACAGATCAGGAAATCGGTTTCGTAGGCCATGGCAGTTCTGAAAGCCATGAGGGAGAGAGCGGCTGTATTTGAGGAGCAACGTGTTTGGCTGGAAACAAGGCTGGAATGACGGCATCAGTTGCAGAGGGCCTAACGCTGTGATGAGTACTTAGTCCTACAGGCGATGGGGAGAGAGCGAGTGTTGTTGGAAGATTTAGTCTGGGCATTGGTGGCATGTCAGGAAATGGAAAACAAGGCAAAAGGAAACCAGCTTGTAGCACTTCTTTTTCTGGCAACTTCTGCTCCAACCTTGTGTTTTTGATATGATGTCAGTCATAGGACCCTGACCCTAGTTAGGGGAGGGCACAAGTCCCAGGCATTGCCAACAGAATATGCTGTTCCCCTGGCCAGTGAGCCATCTAGGGGCAGTCTTGTGACCCAAGCCCAACCAATAAGAGTCTCTCCCTGGAAATTTCCATGTGGAGTGCACCAGGAAACTCCCTTTGCTGTCTCATCCAGTGGGACCTATAGCTGCTGAAGGCCATGTTCCCTACTGTCTAGAGAAGCCCAGGAGAATAAAGCTGACAGGAGAGAGAGAGAGACTGAGAGCAAAGATGGGAGACAATACGGCCCCTGACAAAGAGAAGAGACTGCCCGTCAGCTTTCCAGTCCCTGAGCATGAGGGCCAGAGGAGCTCCTGTATTCATCTTCCTCCTAGAGATCTATGTATCTTTATAATGAAAACCTCTTTATTGACCTAATTTGTGTAGGTTTCCATTTCATGCTGCCAAAAGAGTTAGGATGAGACTGTACCAGTATGATATCACTGAGAGAGCTATTCAAGGAATTTATCAGCCAAGGAGGACAGAGACAAGATCAGGAATCAAGAGCTGGAGGCCAAGGGGGCAGCAGGTGTATTCCCCACCCTTCACCAACTGAAAACTCCAGTTTGGACAGTCAAGCCAGTCTCCCCAGTCTCTTCTTACAAGCTTTCCCATCTCCCATGTTGGAGTCCCTCACCCTTCCCCTATTCCCACTAGGTGAGGCTTTGCTGGTTGCGCAGGGGAAGTGGGGAGATGGATGTCCCCTGGAGAGCCACCAGCATACGTCAATGAGAAGAGAAAGGGCCAGAGGGGTAAGGTGAGGGTAGCAAATTTGGAGCATGGCCATGAGGGAAAATGTTGGGAAATGAGGCTGGAGAGGCAGCCAGGAACCAAATCCTGTGTGGGGTTGGACTTTTCCTGAGTGCCACTATCCTGTGGGGGTGGGGACAAGAAGCATTATTTGGTTTTAAGCAGGGGAATAACAGGTTGAGACCTGCATTTTTAAAAAGATCCAATATCAGCTGGTTGGAGGGTGATTTGGAAGGAGGAAGAGACAACAGGCAGGGAGGCCTGTTAGGAGGCTGCTGGGATCACCCAAGCAGAGGAGACGGAGGGTGGAGGCAGAGAGGAGCAATGGGCGAGAGCTCTGGCAGGTTGGATGCCCCCAGGCACTGCTCCCCCTCCTCCCTTTTTGCTGCTTTCTCCACTGCACATCTGCCCAGGTTCTCTGCTTCCTGGGGCAGGGTGTTGGGCTCCTCCTTGGCCTGGGAGCTCCAGGGCACAGCGGCTAGGTCTCCTCCTGCATCTTTGACTTGGACAGAGCAGGACAGAGATTTGTCCTGAGATCTCCCCAGGGGGACTTCAGGTCAATTGGTCTAAAAGTATTTTCCCTAATGACTCGTCCTAACATCAATCTCCTTCTTAGTGCTTTTTATTCATCTTGTTTGGTGTCCAGTTTTGTTGTTTTGGTGTTTCCAACTTTTATGGATCATTTAAGAATTTTGAAATCAGTTGTTGAACCAACCAATTAATGACACTGCTGATATAATTGCATTTTTCTTTCTTTTTTTTTTTTCAGGGAAAGATTCACCCTGAGCTAACATCTGTTGTCAATCTTCCTCTTCTTTTTTCTGCTTCCCAGAGCCCCAGTGCATGGTTGTATATGCTAGTTGTTAGCTGTTCTAGTTCTTCTATGTGAGCCACCACCACAGCATGGCAACTGACAGATGGGTGGTGTGGTTCCATGACTGGGAGGCAAACCCAGGCCACTGAAGCAGTGAGCGCCGCCTTTAACCACTAGACCACCAGGACTGGCTCTAATTGTGCATGTCTAATAACAACTTTGCGATATTTTATGATTGAAAAAACTTTTTGTATCTTTTGGGGCAGCTCCTTCCCGCCCCCCCGACCCCCAGTTTCATGTGCATTTTATACTTTTTAAGAAATTTTAGCTACTTTTTCCTGAGATGTAATCTTTAAAATTAGTTTTATTTTTATGGCATCAGAAGAAACGCAAAAACTTATAAAATATGGGGTTTTACCCAATTCTAGACTAACCTACTTTAGATAAAGTGGTTGTCAGAATGCCTGTGTGGGGCATGGTCCCTACAAACCTTACCATATAAACAGAGTCTGAAGGCTTCCTCCTGGGATTTTCCTGACTGGAACTTGATTTTCGCTGTGTACAGTCCACTCATTTCCATACTGAGATTTCTGATGATCAAGAAAGCCAGCTCTGTTAGGCTGAATCTGTGCTTGTATTTTTCTTCAAGGCCATACCATTCAGGATTAGAGGTATTAGGTTTCCAGGACACCAGAAACAAATCTCTCTCATCACCGGAATTCCGAATCCACTCAATCTCTCGGATGTCAGGAGACAACGACGAGGTCAGTTGCAGCTGCACAGATCCCCCCACGGTCCTTTGCAATGTGCAGGACGAGCTGGGGTCTTTGACAGTCTGGGAACCTGGTGAGAGAACAGCTAAGACTGAGGAAAGGAAGAAGCAGGGCAAACACCACGCTGCATCTCCTCTCTGCTTTCACATCTCATTAACTTTATATTTATATGAAGAGAATTCTCTCTTTTTACGGGCAGGGAAACAAAGCTGAGAGACAACTTGCCCAGGCCTTGGTCCTGCCTAGAACATGGCAGTTTTGATTCAAGCACGTGTCTGTCCCCCTCCCACACTCACGCTCTTTCCTTTTGTTGCAGCTTGCACCTAACATGGTCTTTGGTCTCATTGCAGAAAAAAGAAACTGAAAACATTAATGTTGCTAAACAATAATCCAATTTCCCCGTTAATTTGTACACACCAGAAGAAAATCATTCCAGCTTTCTCTGTTGCCACCATTTTCCACTCAACCCGCTGCACTGTGGCTTCTGGCCCATCACTCCTCTGAAATTGCTCTTGATTGGGTCACTAATAATCCCCTAAAATTAACAAAGTCAATTGTCACTGGTCAGTTCTAGTCTTTCAGGACCATCTTGTGGCATTTGACATGGGACTGTTCTCCCTTCCTTGAAATTCTACTTATTGGATACAAATTTTTCCCCCTCTGGGCCCTCAGCCAGCCTTCATTCAGTAAATGCTTAATGAGTTCGGTGCTGTTGAGGTTGCTGGGGACACAGTGATGAACAAGAAGACTAGGTCCCTGCTCTCATGGAGCGTCCATTCTAGTGAGGGACACTGCTGGAAAAAGCAGGGAAAACAAATGACTTCAGACAGTTATGAGTGCTGTGAAGAAAATAAAAAGGATGTGGCATAGATTTCATCTCTGTTGCCTGGCATCTGAACTTCCTTCACATATCTGTGGAATTTTCTACCTTATGAGGCAGAGCCCACCTCCCGCTATGAATGCCAGATACTTTCCCAGCCTCCTTTGCGGCTGAGACAGCACATGATCTGGGCTCTTCCAATCAGATGCACCTACCACAGACTTTCAAACACAAGCTAGTGACATGAAGGGAGGAGGCCCACAGGATCTGTGCTGTTGACAATGGCAGTCATGGCAGCAGCCACATACAATCGCCTGAGGCAATGGTGGCAGCAGTTCTGGGGCAGAGAAAGTGTCCAGAGTCAGTGGAATAGGGGTCTGAGCTGTGATGTCTTGGCCAAGAGGAACAGACCAGCTACTACTGGACCAGCTCTGGTGGTGTGACTCAGGGTGTGACTCCTGGATGAGTGGTCTCAAAGCCTGGCCATCTGAACCCCTCAAAGTTCTGTGGGTCACCTGTTAAGCTCTGATATATACATATTCAGTCAGTTGACTTCTCTTGCTTGTAACCAAGAACCCTGACTGACACTTAGGATAATGTGATAGAATAGCAGTGGTTTGGCAGATTGTGGGGTGGGGTCCGTGGTTCATGAAGAAAGTCCTCCTAGAGAGGCTGACAATTTGACAATTAAGGCGAGTCCTGAATGATGACAGGACAGAATGAATTATTCCCGGCAGAGGAAAGAGCGTGTGCCAAGTTCCCAGTGCAGAAATGATCTTGGCCTGCATGTGGGACAGAAGCAGCACCGTGGCTGGGGTGGAAGGAGCAAAGCAGAGATCTGAAGACAGGAGACTGGGAGCAGGGAAGGCTTCGCAGGGATGGTAGGGAGATTGGACACAGTCTGAGTGCAACAGGAAGCTGCCAGATGGTTCTTAGCAAAGTGATATCACGTGATTTACATTTTTAATGATCACTTTAGCCTAGATTCGGTCTGGAGAATGGTTGATAGGAGGGAAAGACTAGGAAAAGGGATTCCAGTGAGGGGGTTCTTGCAATAGTATAAGTGAGAGAAGGATGCTGGCAGAGGATGGAGAGAAGTGGAGAGATTCAGGAAAAATCGGGAGGTAGAGCTGACATGGATTACTGATGGACTGGATGTCAGAGCGAAGGAAAAGAAGACTCAAGGATGACTTCCAGGTTTCAGCTTAAGCAGCTAGGTAGATGGTGTGACATTTATTAAGCTGTAATTATTATTAAAGCCTAGAGAAGAGCAAGTTCGGGGTGAGGGGAGGCATAAAACAAATTTTCAGTTTTAAGCATGTTAACCTTGGCTTCCAAGAACAGATGTTAAATAGGCCTTAGGGTCTGGGTCTGAAGCTCAGGGGAAGATCAGGGCTGGAGACACGGCCCTCAGCCCAGCCATGCTACTAAAGCCATGGGATCAGCTAAAATCACCTGGGGGTGGGGAGGATTATAGCTAGGGAAGAAAAGATGGCATAGCACCAACCACCATTAAGAGAGAGGGAGAAGGAGCTGACAGTGGGAAAAGCTGGTGAGCGCAGTGTCATAAAAGCCAAAGAAGGAGTTTCAGGAAGGGAGGGGAGGCCACTGGGACAGCCCTGCTGAGAGGTGAGGCCAGGCTGCCCTCTATTCTTTTCTTTTCCTCCTGAGTACTTCCAAAATTCTTTGGTGCTTCTCCATTCCACTGGTGCTTACCCCCGTAATACATACATTTCTCTGCTATTATATTAAGTATTCAAATTATACCCTCTGCCCTCCATGTCCCACTGCTCACCACCCCAAGTAGGATGAGAATGCAGAACACTCAGTAGCCCACGTTCTCTGCCACCTCACAGTCCTGTAACATTCTTACCCCTCTCCCTGCAGTAGCCTTCCAACCTAGAGGCTTTACCGAAACAGTCAAGTGTTCTATCTCCAGACATTATTAGATTTTCTCCAAAAATGTGACTTCTTTGATCCAGGAATCTTTACTTTTCACTTAAATCACAAGTTCCCAGTCACATTACCATCATCCGTTGTGTTTAATTACAATTGTCGTGTGGTTCTTTGCTATCACTGTTGACTGTATCTTTTCCTACTCTGGAGATGTCTGTTATGATGAATTTGTTATTTGATGGAGAATTGTTTGGAGGATTTTCCTCAGATTTGCTCTGTGGTGATATAGTCTCTGAATCCTTACCTCAGTGCTAATATTTTGTCTAACCCTGACAGGAAGTGACATCTAGCTGATTTGCAAGGATTTGTCAATTGCTGTCCTTTCCTTTAAGCAGCTCATAGATGTCCTTTCACTGCTATCAAGCTTCCGTTATTGCAGACAAGATGTTTGATTATTTCTCCTTTCAAAGCATTTTTCCTTTGGAAGCTTCCTAAGTTTTTGTTCCTTTTTGTGGTCTTTCAAGAATTATGCCAGCTACTCTTAGGTGCATGTTGTTTTTTTCATTGAAGTGAAACTCTCATAATACAATTGATGCTATAAAGTGTATAGTTTTTAGTGGCACTTTGTGTATTCACAATATTGCTCAACCGCCACCTCTCTCCAGTTTCAAAACATTTTCATCATCCCAGAAAAACACCCTGTACCCACCAAATAGTTACTCTCTCCTCCTCCTCCCCCATCCTCTGGTAACCCTTACTCAATCATGCCTATGTAATGAGTCTCCATAAAAAACCAAAAGGGCGGTGGTAGGAGAGCTCCTGGGTTGGTGGGCACAAGGAGGTGCTGGAGGGTGGCCCACCTGGAGAGGGCATGGCAGCTCCACATGCCTTCCGCATACCTTGCCCTCTGCACCTCTTCCTGTTCGTGAGTTATATTTTTTTATAATTAACTAAGAATTTAGTAAGTAAATTGTTTTCCCATTGTTCTGTGAGGTGCTCTAGCAAATTACTCAAACCTAACCAGGAGGTCATGGGAACCTCCGAAGTTTACCCCGTCAGTCAGAAGCCAGTCGGTAACAACCTGGACTCGTCACTGGCGTCTGAAGTCGAGGGATGATAGTCTTGTGGGGTTGAGCCCTAAACCTGAGGGATCTGACACAAACTGCAGGAAGACAGTGTTAGAACTGAGTAAAATTGTAGGACATCCAGCTGGTATCTAAGTCACAAAATTGCTCCATGTGGGGAAAAGAACACACATGTCTAGCGTCAGAAGTAGTATGGTAGTCGTGTAAGTAAAGGAGAAACACAGGAGTGTGTTTTTCCATAGCAGGTAATTTCTCTGTTTAGATTCTCTTTCTCTGCTGGAGTCAGTATTGCTAAATCATATTTTCCTAGAAAATTATCCATTTCATCTCAGTTTTCCATGTATCTGTATAAAGTCACACACAATAGTTTTTTGTTTAACTTCCTTTGTATATGTGATTATCCTGCTTTTTCATTTCTTCTTTTGGGCCTTTAGGCTTTCAAGGGAGGGTTTTTGAAAGATTGGAACCACTCAATCATGCTTGTGTGCTTGTGACAATGATCCAGGAGTTTTATCTCTTTCAGACAAAACACTTGAAAGTAGGAACAGTTTGTCCCCCCAAAGCAAGGTTGGTTATTTAAACAGGGAACTAAATCACTAAAAAGAAGGCAAGGGGCCAGGGTTCAGGAAAAGGCAGGAATGAGGGAATTTCCAAAGACCAACGATTTAATGAAGAGAGCTGCCAGAGCTCACACAGCAATGAAGCTAGATCTGTGCATCTGAGTGGTCTCCAACTGCCTGACTCCTGTTTTCTCTCTCTCTCTCTTTCCTTCTTATATTTAAATAAATTTATTAACCTATTTCTCACAGGCTACAGAAAAGATTCTTTACTGTTAACAGGGAAATGCAGTTTCAATTTACAAGAAAACTGAGAGAAATCACTAGAGAGAAGTTGGTGCCACAGTCTTTATGAGATCCAGGTTCCTGATTTCCAGTTCTCTTCCCAGTGCACTGCTGGGACAGATAAAACATACAGGGAGGACCAATTCCAATAACAACTGAGAGACTGGGCAAGGGCAGTGCAATGACAGCCAATCCATCTCTCATATACCAACACATCCTATGCCCTGCTTGAGACACATGCAAATATACTTCCATAAAATTTTTCCCTTGCAAATTTTGAAGGAACTAAAATTAAATATGATGATAAAATGCCATATCCTTTGACTATTTTAAATATTATTCTTTTAAATAAAGGACAAGAGTTCACTAGCTCAGTCAACTTTGATTCTTAATAAAAATGAGTTAACCATGAACCCAGCGCTGCCTGAATCAGCTTTAATCCAAGCTATGTTTACAGGAAAGAGTGTTTGTTTTGTCAATGTTTAAAGGATAGAAAGGGCATTGTGACTAGAGCCACTGGGCCCCTCCCACCTCCCTGCCCTCCCCTGTCCTATGAGACCCCATGCAGCCTGGTAATGGCTGCTCTCAATCTGCTTAGAATTCAGTAAGGCTGATGCCAGCTTGGGTGGGGCAGGAACAGCTGCATTTCCTCCTCTGGGGGACTTACTGCCCTCAGTGGTTGTGTGGCAACCAATAGCACACAAAGAGAGGGCAGCTGGGGGCAGAGGCAGCTTCCTGTGCACCCTGGTCCTGCCATGTATGCAGCTCTCTGAGAATGGTGACAAGTGCTACAATGGCAGAGCAGTGGAAATGTTCGCAGAGGAGCCAGCATAGACCTAACTACAGCTCAAGAAAGAAAAAACCCAGGAGGACTCCTTAAAGTGCTCACTGACCCCACAGACTCTGTGACCTTTAACGGGAAATGATAGCATTTGTTGAGCAGAAAAAGGAAAGAGAATTCAGATGGGGGAAGGCACTAAGGGAGCAGCTGTTTCCCTATTGAGAAACATAAAAGGAATAATTTTCCTAGAGGCTGGGGTGGCGGGAACAGAAGGTGAGAGAGAAACTCCTTTCAACTAGCAGATTTTCCCCTACCTGCTTAGTTAAGAATTCAGAGGTTTGGGTGTGGGAGTGGGGGCGGGGAGGGTTAGGAGAGGAGGCCAACACAGCCTAAGTCCCCAGCTCTCTGCAGTCTGAGGCAGAACGTGGTCCTGGAGCTCTTAAATACCTGGGCTAAGACACAGTAATGCTGAGCTCTCAGGCAAGTTCATTGGCCTCTCTGAGCCTTGGTTTCCTCAAATGTAAGACGAGGGTGGTGTCATCTACTCAATGGGGCTACATAGAAAGCCAGATTCCTGCCATGTGTCACAGTGCCTGGTCATGAGCAACAGGTCTTCTGTTGTCCTGTCCTCCCTGCCTCAGTATCCCTCCCAGCCCCACAGGAAACACGTGGTGATGTGAGGCTGCAATGAGAGAATGTATGGAACACTCCAGGTATAGATCTTGCCTATGGTAGATGCTCAGCACATGTTTATTCCTGTCCCTTCTGACCAAATCCTTTCCATCTTCTCAGTCACCCGCCCAACCCGGCTTACCTGGGGCTGCCATTGTCACCACCTTAATGTTGTAACTGGCCCATATGTCATTTACCCTCTCGTTGGCTTACAAGATTTTCATTATTATAAATAGACCAAAATGAACGTCTTTGTGCATAAGCTTCTTCTGCATGAAGGTTTTTCCCTTGGGGTAAATTCCAGAAGTGGAATTACCAAGGAAAAGGTAGAAATATTTTAAATGTTTCTGCCACGTCAAATGTACTACCAAGAAGCTTTTTACTCATTTAAAAAGCTGCCTACAATATACGAGAGTGCCTGTCACACTGTCCCATTGTCAAATGAAGTATTCACATTAAAAAAAAAAAACCTGTGCTAATTTGATATGAAAATATGATATCCAGTTTTATTACTTTGCATTTGCTTGATTACCTGTGAGGATGACTGTCTTTTATGCTTCTCTTTATCTTATATATTTTTTCTCTATGCTTCATGTATTCATATCCTCTGCTCATTTACCAAGAATCGTGGTAATATTTCTCCTATTGATTGGTAAGGGGGAATGGACTTTTTCAAAGATTCCCACAATGTTCACCACAGTGCAGGAGGTGGAGGGCAGTGGGGAGCGCAGGGACGTGTGCGACCTCTGTGTTACCACGACTACCTCACGTCCCAGAGGGAAACCTTTCCTGTTTTTAACTGTTGGATCACCATATCACTGTCAATTATGAAACAAGGAAACAACATCATTCTTTTTTGGTGTCTATTGGCAAGTTTTTTTATCAATCAAGAAATGTATGATGCTATATACATGAGGAATCTGTGTCCCTGTGTCAGACACCGGTTGGAAAGTGCCCTATTTCACTTACTCTCCCAAATAACACCTCAAGTTGGGTATTATTCTATCCATTTTCCAGGTGAGGAATTGAAGCTCAGAAAGATAAAGCCACTTTTCCAGGGTATTTACAATTTGTCTAAAATTTTACGGCCAATATATGGCAGGACCAGAATTTGTACCCAGTGGGTCTTACTGCAGAGCTCAGCCCCTCATTCTACCACAAGGAAGTTTTGGGGACAAGGGCAGGGGACCAGGCCACCAATTTGGAGCCTGGTTCCCAGGAAGCAGCACCTCCAGCATAATCCCCACCCCCATGGAGAGCTGGGAAACAACCGGTAACCACACAGAAAGGTCACCAGCAGAGTGAGAGGGGAAGGTCCCACTTCCCCCCTACACCCCGCTTCCCCTCCTTTCTCCTCCTCTGCCTCTGCAGATGGTGCCACAGCTCAGCTGTCCCTAATGATGGGCAGTGGGAGCTGTTCTGACCCCTCACTCCCCACACATGCCCTCCTCAGCCTGGGAGGAGAAGAAGGAAGCAGGCTGGCGCTGGGGAGCAGACGGACACAAGGACCTGAGACTGTGGATTTGTTCCCACCAAACAGGAAGGTGGAAAATGAGACGCTGGTCTGAGGATCTCAGCGGCAGCAGCCCAATGGAGCAGGACAAATAACTGCCCTTTGAGGTGGAGGTTTGATGGAGGTTTTCCTGTCCTGAGGAAGTTGCAGGCATCCCAGAAAAGCCCTAGACCCCTTTCCCTCCCCCTCAACCCTCAAAGAAGCTGGAAGAGTCAGAATATTAATACCATGCAAGCCCCAGCTCCCCCTCCCACCTGACTCCTCAGCCTCCCCCACACTCGCCTGGAGCTGCCCCACCTGCTCTGCTGCTCACCGAGAAGGAGGCTCATTTGGAGCATCAGGGTCTGGCAGGAGAACCAGCTGCAGCACAAGGAGTCCATGACTGTCTGTTGACAAGATTAAACCAGTGGCTCCTCCTCTCCCCCGCCTCCGGCCCCCCTCCCAGCCTCACTCTCTTTTTTTTTTTCATTTGAGGAAGATTAGCCCTGAGCTAACTACTGCCAGTCCTCCTCTTTTTTGCTGAGGAAGCATGGCCCTGAGCTAACATCCATGCCCATCTTCCTCTACTTTATATGTGGGATGCCTACCACAGCATGGCATACTAAGCTGTGCCATGTCCACACCCAGGATCCAAACCGGCGAACCCCGGGCCACTGAGAAGCGGAACGTGGGAACTTAACTGCTGCGCCACTCGGCCCGGCCCCCTCACTCTCCTTTTGAATCCTCTCAGTTCATGCTCACCTTGCCTGATGAGCCAAAGGACACACGAATTTTTAAAAATAAGGGTTTTGTTTCTGATAATAATTCATATTGATTATATAAAATTTGGGAAGCATAGAAAATTGTCCAGAAGAAGAAATATCACTTGTTATGACACCTCACAAAGCTAACCACCATACACATTCTTTTCCCCCAGTTTATGGAGATATTATTGACATAAAGCATATGTAAGTTTAAGATGTACAACATGATGATTTGATACATATCTATATTGCAAAATGCATACCACAGTGAGGATAGTTAACATCTCTATCCTCTCACACAACTACTTTTTTTTTTATATTTGTAATGATAACATTTAGGATCTACTCTCTTAACAACTTTCAAGTGTATAATACAGTACTGCTGATTATATTCACCATGCTGTATGCTGGATTCCCAGAACTTATTCATTTTATACCTGGAAGTTTGTACCCTTTGACCAACATCTTCCCATCTCCGCCAGCCCCCAGCTCTGGCAACCACTGATCTACTGTCTGTTCCTATGAGTTCAGCTTGTTTAGATTCCACATATAAGTGAGAACATACAGTATTTGCCTTTCTCTGTCTGACTTATTTCACCTAGCACACAGCCCTCCAGGTACGTCCATGTTGTCAAAAAACACAAAATTTCCTTCTTTTTTTTGGCTGAATAATATTCCATTGTGTGTGTGTGTATTTCCGTTCATCCATCAGTGGACATCTAGGTGTTTCCATGTCTTGGTTATTGTAAGTAATGCTGCAATGAACATGGGGGATGGCAGACAGATTCCCTTCGAGGTCCTGATTTCATTTCCTTCAGGCAGATACCCAGAAGTGGAACTGCTGGATTGTATGATAGTTCTGTTTTTAACATTTTGAGGAACCTCTGTTCTGTTTTTCATTGTGGCTGTACCAGTTTGCCTTCCCACCAGCAGTGCACAAGTATCCCCTTTCCTCCACATCCTGGCCAGCACTCTCTCTTATCTTTTTGGTAATATCCATTCTACCAGGTACGAGGTGACATCTCGTTGTGGTTTTGATTTGCATTGCCCTGAAGATTAGTGATGCTGATCATCTTTTATGTTGTCCACCTGTGTGTTTTCGTTAGGAAAATATTTGCAGTTCCTTTGCCCCTTTTTTAATCAATCATAAGCATCCTTATGTAGCTCCTCTGGGTATGTTTTTCTGTGCATTTTAAAATAAAATGAAAAAAAGTTATCTTTTTAGACAAAGTAGTGATCTCCAGAGTGTGTTATGTGAGATGATCCATTGTGGTATCAGAAGAAAATGTCTATTGATCTTTTTACTTATGATAAGAAAGAAAAAGCCCACTTCTAACATGTAACAGAATTTCTCTGGCACCCTGGCTTGGTCTGTATGTTACATGATCACAGGAGAGTGAAATACCCCAAGAGGAAAAGTTGAGAGTGGCGCACTCACTCTTTGGTCAGTTTCGGATGGTTGCTGTCCAGGGGGCAAGAATGTCACCGAACTAACCAGCACAGAGTGGTTGAGTTGTTTAAAAAGATCACCTCCTGACTTTCATAGATTGAAGATAATAAACAAAAGACAAAGAACAAGATAAAGGCAGAGCTGACCCTTCTCCCATGCTTGGTGTACGCTCTTCGTCAACGCATTACAAGACAAAACAGATGACCCAATTAAACTGAAGAAGAAACTCGTCAAAAGTTCAAAGTTGTTTAGGTTGCCATGATGTGATCTCTCTCGCTAGCCACCAAGCGTATTTCTTACAGACACAGATGTTTGTTGTAATGTGGCCTTAAAATAGAGGAATAATGTAAACAGAATAAATGTCCCTAGCTTCTAAACGTCCCTAGCTTGAATTTTTGAACTCAAAAATTCAAACTCGCAAAAAATTCAAGACCATGTGAAATATAGATTTGCCTCTACCACTGTTAATAATAACTGTAACTCTAAATGCATGTTGAGCCTTGAGGGGTTAGCTAATGTATGAAGTCATCAGGAAGTGCAAGATATTAAAAGATTATTTATTTCATAGATAAGGATATCTCATATTTTTCTAGATTTTAACTTTTTGGTGTGTGCTTCAAAATGTACAATCCACAAACTAATAAATATACGTATGTTTGGATTGCCTGCTTAAAATCTTTTAACTTATTTTTCATACCCTGCCGTAAAGTTTGTAGACCGCTGATATAGACTTATTTCTTTGCCTTCTCTACCTCCTAATGATTTTGAAGGTAAACATCCTATTTTCAATTTTACTAGCGGTTTCCTATAAATTAATAAAAAGGAGCTTGAACCTGTTTTTCCTCTAATTATCAATGCTATGAACAGAATGCTATTTCTTTGCCCATAGTCAGTGATAATTCACTGTGTTTTCTCTCTCTGTCTCTAACTCTTCTCAGTTTTTGTTGATATAACTTGGGATTTTATATATAGTTTATAATTATTGAATCTTGTTTACTTCATGTCTTCTTTTCCAGAAATTTAAAAATATTTGCACTACAGGTTTGGTTCTCCAGCAGCTTGAGAGGAGTGCGCTGGTGTGGGGCCAAGCTCAAGTTTCTTCAAGTAAAAAAGAGGTTCAGTGTCAGGATTCTCATGTACTGAGACTGAAATTGGATCTGGAAAACTCAGGAAAGAGGAAGCTAGCGACATTTGGACTGTTTACATTATTCCTCTATTTTAAAGAATGTTACAGCAAACATTTGTGTCTGTTAGAGATGCACTTGGCTGCCGGTGAAAGAGAACCAACCACGGTGACCCAAACAAATCATGGGCTTGTTTTTCTCTTGTGTCCAGAAAAAATTCCATAGGGAAGCAGTGAAAGGCAGGAACGGTAGCTCTAGGTAGCATCAGGGTCCCAGGTTCCTTGTATTTTTCTGTTCCTTAGTTTGTGGTTCCCATCCTCAAAGTCACAAAATGGCTTCTGGAATTCTAGCCATCATGTACAAGTTCCAGACACCAGAAAGAAGAAAAGAGAGAAAGAGTGAAAGGGTTTTCCCTCAAGTCCTGACCAGGGACTTCTGTTTACACCTCATTGCCCTCCCTGTCTTACCAGGGAGTCTTAGAAATGCCCATTTTTAGTTAGGCACGTCACTACCACCAAATACATAGTTAGAAAGGAGAGGATAGACAATGGGTAGGCAACTAGCAATTTTCAGCCATGGCACTCTTAAACACGTTTCTTTGAGCATATAGGTATAGCTTTACTCCTGTTAAGATATAGTCCTAGAAGTAGAGTTTCAAGATCAAAGTGCACTCCACATTTACATTGATATACTTCCAATTGCTCCCCAAAAAGGCTGTGCGTGTTTATGTTCCCACCAGCAGTGTATGAGAGTTCCCACTTTTCCACAGCCTTGCAGGTGTCTGACAATCCTGATTGTCAATTCGATATATGTAAAATGGTATCATGTTTCATTTGTTAATTCCCTGTTGACAAGTGAATTTGAGCATCCTTTTACAAGTTAACTTATTGGCTTTGACAAAGAGGGGTTTGTCCAGGGAAATGATTTTTCCTTTCTCCCCCATCCTAACTGCCCAAGACATGACTTGTCTTAATGGGGGTGTTCAGAACTGGAGATGTGTGAAAAAGTTGATTGAGCTGATACAGACAGGTTTTGTGTCACAGCATCTGAGGGAGAAATAAAGTTGTCTTCTGGACAGGAAGAAAAGGCCAAGGGAGAGGCTTGCTAATCAGAGTCATGAGGGCTGGGTGATTAGAGAGACAGAGAAGTGGTTGTTTCAGATGTCCTGGGAAGTTGTTGATTCAATTCCCATACATGGCTCACAATGAGGAGCCCTGTCTGGAGTTGCTCCCATGGAGGGAGAACTCTCAAGGGCTGAGAAGAGGAAGAATATCAGCTGAGTCCCTGCTGAAGGACTGGTTGATTCATGGGGTTACAGACTCATCCAGCCTGGATAGGGAGACAACTTTTCTACCCAACATGGAAATCCCCCGTGCACCTCTGATGAATGATGCCCTTGTAACTGAGTAACCCAGTGGAAGTTCCTCTGGCCCAGTATCTCTTGGAATGTTCATCTTTATGTAACTCGGATATCAACTTAATCAAACTGAAACTCACTGTTTTAGTCTAGGATGATCAAAAACCATCCTCAGTCTTCAGTAATTTTTGAACTCTCTACATTCTTGTATGCCCCTCCCCATGCCTCCTCCATTACTAAATTCCTCCTGATGATTCAGGTCTGCCCTAATTGCATTCCACTGAAATGAACCACTCGAGCTCATCATCTCATTAGCTTAATGACTTCACTGAACATCTGGAGATCGTCATAAGAATCACACTGCAGAACCTCCACCATCTTGTTGGCACTACTCTCACTGTCTACCTCCTTTCAAAGCCAGCTTCTCTTGACAAGTGACTTTTCCCTCAGAGGGGGACATCCAGCCTCTGCACTCCAATCACCTGTCTCTTGTCCTCCTCATGCTAGTCGGTCTTCCTCAGCCTCTTTGGAATTTTGGTCACTAAAATTTTCTGTGTCTCATTACATCTCAGAAAAATATTTATAGCTCCTTGCAAATTCTCTCCCCCAAGGTGGGAATGGAGAAGACGAATCACAATATTTACTTGTGGCACTGGGCTCCTCCGTCCTGTGTAGCATCACACTCCCTCCTTTTTATAATGGTGGGGGCAGAATTCTTCTCCAAGGACACTTTTATTTATTTATTTTTTTTTT